GGAGCCTAGGGGTTCTATTGATTGTAATCAACATCGGATGCTCAGGGGAGCTTCGTGAGGCTTGCTTCGCCTCCCGCACCCGGCCCGCACCCGTTCCTTGCCTTTCATCAAGGTCCTCCGAAGGGAGCTCTGCAAGCTGCTGCCACGGGCTTTCGCTTTGCGGTTCCACCAGCGCAGCACCGACCTGCGACAAAAGGAGTAAGCCGACACTCACTGCACCAAACGCGAGCCAGCCCAGTGTGCGCTAATGCGGAACACGGTTTTCCCAGGCACTAATGCCACCTATGGCAACGGCATGCCGTTTTCTCGGAGAAAAAGCACCTCATCTGTGCCTATTTCTGGCTTTTAATTGGGGGGCAATTCGCTCAAAAAAGATATCACTAACACTCTGGTTATGCCAAGGTGCACTTCTAATCCAGCAGCAGTGCCTCAAAACGCGCTGATGTTCGATTCAACATTGGAAAAGCTGAGATCTTCCCCCATCCAGCCACAACACCAGCACCTGAGAATGATTGGTTCTACTTCCAGCGTCTGCGCCACTCGAGCTGTTCCCTGAAAGCCCACTCCAAAACGATGGCCAACCGAAAATCAACGCCACCAGGACCGCTTCGGGGCACTTTTCGTGAAAGAAGTGACGGTTCTTCAAGTGTGTTGAATCAGATACGTTCCCACTTGACCCATAAGTCCCCACATGATCGGTGGCGCAGTCCGCCCAGGCCAGGTATTTTATGGTGGTTTTCGTGGTGCATGGATCACCTGGGAGTCATCACAAGGAGACACCGAGACACCCCTTAATGTAGACTCATGATTAATAAAGCCCCGATATGAAGAGCATTTCCAAGTCAAATGGGAGGGTTTATTCATCAAGAGTCTACATTAATTTACTTGCATGTCTCGAAGCAGGAACCCCTTCCCTCGGATGATGTTGAGACCTTTACTGTTGTCCATATGGATTTTCAGGCTGTGGCGCATCTATCTGGAATGCATTTGTTCATTCCGTCTTTGGTTACTTGAGAAGCAGTGGTCTTTCATCAATACGGGCAGATTACAGGGCATAGCCAGGCATAATTAGCCCCTTCTAGTCACCAGGTTGTTCAAGCTGAAGGCCATTGAGGGTTGGCATAGTTCCACCAACCCAAAGATGTGCACGCCGTACCCTTGAGGGCCCGGATCTAAAAATCGATTTCTTAGGAACGAGTTCGACGAACATGGTACCAGTAGACCTGTCGAAAGCACGAGGTCATGATGCATAGGCTGCCGTGCATGTATCGCGACTAGGATCAAGTGCATCGCAACGTTCGTAGCTTCCTGTCACTACTAGTAATGCCTTGGATCTATCCCATTACCAGTAACAGTGGATGATGATAATTTCTAAAAGGCCTTGTTCAAAAATGGTGATTTGCTTGTTCACTGACTGTTACACTATACCGGTCAAAACGGACAAACCCAAGTATACGGCCCTTGTGACCTTCATGTCACCCGTACATCCTTCCAAAAGCCCACCGCGTTGCCGGATCGACGACTCCGCGAACTCGAGCTCCGCTCCGCGACTCGACGACTCGAGTCTCCGCTCCACCCGACTCGATGACTCGAGTCTCCAAGGCACAAGTGTCCTGAAAGGACCAGTGCTGCCCACCACCATGTGAGCAGCTCACAGCACCCGGTCCCGGACGCCCCATGGAAGGGACGCGGCGTGGGCAGGAGGCGAAGCACCCACCCGCGGGACCCGTGGGACGGTCAGAGTGGGTTTGCGAGAGTCTGTTCGTCAAATTCCCAGGGGGTCTGGGCGATTGCATTTCTTGAGGTTTCTGGTGCATGTTTAGGCCATTTTGCCATGTTGATTGCAAAAACAACAAATTAAAACGACATTGAATTGATAAACACCACAAACTAAAAAGAACTTGAATAGATCTGAATCTCTTTTTTAGATTCTGGTTCCGATCACAAATGCCCCCCCGGGGTGCTTTCCCCTCTTCTTTTGTGCGTGCAAAACTCCTATAAATGGCAACCGTTATTTCCAACAGTCGAGAGCATGACCCTGTTTTTTGGATAGGATTGGTCTTCCAGTGCTCACGAACTTCCAACCACAATGAGCCATCTCCAAGCTCCGAACAATTCCTCCACCATGAGCAGGAGTGTGTTGCAACGTTGGCCCTTGTCAGGCTGCCATACACCAACACTTGAGCATTCTTTCTTGTATGAAGCCAGCAGCTTCGAGCGGCGGTGGCGGACTTTAGGGATATAGTAGCTCTTCTGCGGATAGGCGAGTTAGCATGGTAGCATAATGTAGCTAGACCCTAGGGCTCCAACCACATCCTGAGAAGGTGGTTGGGTGGGTTTGAGGGGTGAAACTACCTTCTCAGGATGTGGTTGGAGCCCTAGGGAGTATACATGCGGCCAGTCCTAAATCGGCAATGGAAATCACACAGCTGGCGCTGGGGCACGAAGCTTCTTCCTGTTGCCAGCCACTGATTCCACTTGACCACCAAACTCCTCCGCCTCCCTCTCCCTCTCCCGCGCTGTCCCGCACGGTCCCAGTGACTCTGCCCAGTCTCCGGTGCCCCACCTGTTGCCCCAAATGGTTGGCAACTCCTTGCCAGCTCCCACCAGAACGACCTGAAAACAAGTTGAACGTGGAACGTGCAGTCGTCGACATCGTCGACTCGTTTTGGGCCGAGGGATGGGGATGGGCAGTGCCCAATATCTAACGCCCCGCTTTCTCCGACCGGACGTGTCACAAATGGGCATCCGGCAGAAGTGATTCAATGGTCCAAACGATGGATGTCAAGGCTCAGCAAACAGAAAAAGAAAGCATCTGCAGGAACAGTATTATGCCTTGGATGGTTATTGTTGTGCTTTGCCCAAATCCTGTCTGGGTACGGGATCTGATCATCCCCTCTATACGCCTTCTTACCGCTTCAATCTTCCACAGTGAAGACACGCTTTTTTTAGGTGGCTACCCTAACAATCCTTGGGCTCTCCATGGCAGGGGTCGGACCTTCTCCATCGTAACGCAGGGGGAAAACGGGCCCGGTTACCAAACCCTATCTGTTGGAGGGTCGGGATTCTTAGGGTAGTGTCTTTTTGCGGGTGCCATCGTTCATCAGCCGTGTGGTGCCATGGACACGCGGTACGCCGGGTGCTGCACCGAAGATCCACATGGCGATTCCGCGACGGTGCGGTGTGTGCGGAGAGTTGGGTTTTTTCCCCCAGTCCCAGCCATTTTCCGATGTGGATTTCAATGGTCCATACTGGACAAACCTCAATTGCTTCCAGGGGTCCAGGTAAAGAAAACAACATGTTTCTCGTCACATGACACCGTTTCAGATCTTTCAGCCTTAAGTCCGATCGTGTCACGTAGGACTAAACACCTGTGCAGTGTGTACTGGCGCTCCCGCAGGAGATGAGATGTCAAGCGCCTCATAGTAGACCTCACATTGCCCAAACCCAATTCCGCAAAGTGCGCTTGCTTATCCCTAACTACAAGTCAAAGGCATCATTCTACTGGAGTTGGAGGTAGAAGGACCAGGTGTTACTGGGTCAGACTGGACGAACGTAGGGTATGTTTTCCCATCTTTGGCATATTTTGGTACACATCTGGCCAATGACCCTTGAAGGGTCGATTCGTGAGGAGTGGGGCGGACAAAAGAATCGATCCACCTCCCCAGAAGGCGTATGACTGGACCCGAACATGGCACCCACCCCAGTCCCACCTTCTCAGCTCGTTGTTTTGCACAAAACGACCCTAAGTCTGCTTTTCAGTTCTTGGGCAACCCATTAAAACAGGAATATTCCTCTGTGATGCCAGTGATGCCGGGCCCTGGAGCCCACAAACTCTCCGTGTTGGTTTTGTGGCCCGGATATTCTTGTTGACAACCTTTCACGCTTCAGAAACGACTTGGATGGATGGAATACCGAAAGTTCCTGAGGTTCCAACACCAGGCAGGATTCGGACCTGGGCGAACAAAGCAGAGCCGCCCCTTTCAATGGGCTATACTGGTCCATTGGTCCAACGCCTTGGTACAAACCATTCGGACCTCATCGTGGTGCGCTTTTCCCATCCACTCCATGGAGCTGGAAGATATGCCGCCCCATGGCCCCCCCTGGCACCACCCCGACGCCCGTTTCTCGGCAGGTCCTATGGCAGTCCGGCAGTCCTATGGTTCGCGTCTGGAATTTGGGGCTCTTTTTGGGAGATCCACACGCGCCCAAAACCAACGCACGGACGTTTGGAAAGCTTCGAAGGTCCTGACGACGGTCCCAGCACTGTCGTGAGTAGCGTGAGCTGGGAAGCTTTGGGTGCCCTATTGTGAGTTGGGCCACGAAAGGTCAATGCTCCAAGGAAATGTAGACTCTTGATTATAGTAAAGGCTCCCCATTTGGATTGAACAACCTCTTTATATGAGGGATGATTCATCAAGAGTCTGCATTCTAGGGGTGGGCCAAAATAACATGAAGAAACTACGCCTGAGCTTCTCGAGCTGAGTTTGTCCGCCTGATGTCGTTTTGGTCGTTTACCCGTCATTGGACACATTCTTCACATTTTCCCGGTCAGTGCAAAGCCCTGGAGAGCCCAGGGAAATGACTGAAAACCCCGAGGTCCTGCAACCGTGGTGGATGGATTGACGTCCAGGTGGGGGTAGTTCATTTTCGTCAAGTCACGGAAGTTCTGCGAAATGCACCTGCCGAGATTCCGTGGTATACGTCCAAATGGCACACGAAAGAACCTCGTCCCCTATAGGGCATTGACCTGGGAAAAAGATCATCACCCGATCCGAATTTGTCCCTTGTGGTTCTTAGCGAAAAAGAGCGCGATGGTCTCGTGGGGGTTCTGAGCGAAGACGGGACGATTCCTGCACCAGAGTTTTCAGGGAATGAGGATCTGCAATGTGTTACATGGTGGTCAGGGCTACCTCATGATGTTCGCCCTTTGAAATCAACTTTGGGATCCAGTCATTCCTTCCTTCAAAAATATCCGCCGACCCCGGCCTATAGCCAAAGCCTAGGCGGGGAGGCGCCTGGGACACCGCAGGGTGAAGCAGTTGGCCAAGCCTAGCAGAACCCTTCCAAGCACTTCCAA